ATTGCTACACAATATAGTAAATGAAAAAGCTTAAATTCCACTTACATGGAACACTGGCATCCTCACTGGTGGACATCAGATGTTTTGCCGTAAGACACTTGCCTTATCAGCTCTTCAGCACCATATTTGGATAACACTATAAGAAAAAGCACTTAATTCATTATTATGTCATCTTTCATATAAACATTGAGTTACACAAAAGAACAATACTTTTATATGGACACAAATATGTCTTGGCACAGTCATGTCGCTGGAATTGCAAAAGCTGCTTCTCAAAACCTTGGAGCACTGTTCCGAACCAGAAAACTGTACATACCTCAGCAACTTTTGATGTTTTATAAAGCTCAGATCAGACCTTCTTTAGAGTATTGTTCTCATGTATGGAGCTCCAAATCTAAGCATACCCTGAAGCTGCTGGATTCCATCCAAAAAAGAGCCATCCGCCTGATTGGAGAGAACGTTTTTCTAAATGAATTTAATCTCCAGCGATTCAAATTCAACGTGAAACGCTACTTTCGCACAGGCACCGCTCTTAGAGCGCCTTAAGGATTTTTCTGAAGTTCTTGTGTTCTATCTTCAAAAAAATATGAACACTGAATTATACAAAAAAATATGAACACTGAATTCAACTTGTATTCCAAACATCCGTTATTGAATTAGGTACCACACATTATAGTTAATGAAAGAGGTAAAATTTCAGTTACATGGAACACTCTGAAAGCTCTAATATACTTGTGCAGGGTTGAAACAAGAAACAATTGTAGACCATTGTTTGTTTGTTAAAAAAAATTGACCGTCACTAGTATTTTTTTCTTGGAAACTATCTGCTTCATGCATAAAAAAGAAATGTCTTCATATGATTTCGTCAGTCATCATATAATTATTCAAAACAATAATAAATGTAATTTTCTATCCCCAAAATGAGCAAGAAAGTATATAATCAGCACACGTCAGAGTCTTAAAAAACTCCATGAAGTAAAGAATTTTCCTCCAAGAATATTATAATGATATATATTAACAATTTTCAACTTTTGTTATAACCACTGCTGTAATGTTGCTTTGAGCTATATAATGCCAATAAAATGTTTAATCACTGCAATACATATCAAGATTTCAAGCCACGACGAAACGTCGTTGAAGTAACTTGTTTTTTTGCTCAATATAATTGTCATTTTCAGCTATTCATTTTAATTTTCAATTTTATTCGTTCATTCAGGGATTTCAAANACGGAAACCAATGACCAGAAATTCTCAAGGCTTATTTGCGATTGAAAATAATTGAAACAAGACTGTAAAGTTAAAAATTTTGCCATCTATGAATGGACTCAAAAATAGTGAGCTATGAATTTGGCCAACTGTGATTAGATAGATAGACAGATAATTCTTTTGTTTAAAATAAAAATGTTCAAACACGACACATAGAGAATACAGAAATAGTTGAAGAAAGTTTAAGTAAAATTATACATACCTATATCATGAAGAATTAGTTTTGTCTACTAATCGTCAGTCATTACAACTGAAACTACTACTAAAACTAATTTTAATGGAGTAAATATATTCCAAAAGATTAAATTCTATATAAACATGAAGGACCAGTCCTGCCCTCTCCAGAGGGGTAGTGTCATCAAACTATTCATCAGTTGAGTGGTGTGCTTTCTTGGGAGAATATCTTCAAGTTTATTTTTGAGCGTTGTCTTAGAAAGTCTTGTTATTTGTGTATTTAAAGTTTGTTGTAAATTTGCATCAGAGTTCATGGTATATTCTTCCATATAAAAGTAAAATTTGGAATACTAGTAACCAAATCTTCTCAATTTTTTGTTTTGCAGATGTGTGATTTATCAAAGCCCCCAAAAAGGTTTTTGTTTGCTTCTATTAAACATTATACTGTCAAAAAAGTACTAACTGTATAGAGTCAATATCTTCTTTTCTATGAATAAAGGTTTACAACTATCAGTTTGCCTATATTTGAAAATAATTTTGAGGCAACGTTTTTGAAGATATCTTATTAACATCTATACAGATGCACACCAACATAGTATTCCGTATTTGAGTCGCAAGTGAACTTGTGCATAGTAGACAGACATTGATACTTGAACATTTATTATTTCAGTAATGATTCTTAGAACACAACAATGTCTTGCATTCTGACAAGGTAGTCATATGAAAGTTCCAATCCAATCATGAAATATATACACTGTGCATCTAAGCAAAGGAGTGCTTCAAAACATTATCATGTATAGTGCAAGTGATCTCCCAGACAAGGCTGCTTGTACAGAATCGGAACGACCAAAATTTTTTATATGTTTTCTAATATGCGGCTGGGTATAGGAAAATTTTTTAGGTTGAGTGTAGGGACACAAATTAGCAGTTTCTTCAACCGTATCGGTGCTTGACATTTTAAACTTTAAAATACCGTAAAAACGTAACTGACTACTCCGACACTGTACAGTGAATTCCGCCAGCCGATTGCAGTTAAATTTGATTGGCCAACGTAAGGAGGCTTGTTTATTTTACCCAGTAGACTTGCTTTTATTTGCTATCAGATAAGTATGATCATTTTCAGCTGACAGAGAATTCAATTGCTTATTCAATTGATGATTTTTTGTGAAGCAGATTTCCAGGGTATTTTCAGCATCAAACACATTTATGTCCAAGTCATCTGTCTTCTGTTCACCGATGATAACGGTTGATTCACCAGCAACTTGTACAATGTTAAATTTATTAGCTATTTGTAATTCATGAGTGAAGAGAATGTAGAGCATTAATTCCAAAATTGATCCCTTTTACCCCTCTAATTATTGTTATAGTTCATTCACTGAGAGTGATAGAATTTCAAGAATGCAAACATGCCTGCACATCAAAGAAAGCAACATGTGGTCTCAAGCAAGTGACACTGCAATTCATCCACGAAGTCACCGAGATATTTCTACCCGCCATGCCCCTTGAGGACGCCGCTAAGGAGCCATTAAAATGATGACTTGCCGTAAAGAACTCCAAAAGAGGCTGCGTTAAAGAAAGTATTAATAGGCGTCGGACTAGGACTATTAATATAAATTTTCTTCTTAACTTCTTCGTCAATAACCAAACACTTTTTGCCAGTGGATACTGTTGTAAATCATGCCCGAAAGAAAATAACGCCGGCCGCCACTGGTAATCATAAACCAAACGTGACGTAGCTAAGAACGCGCGAATGTACGATGATTCGCCGCCACTCTAGAAGCAGTGAGAATAATGCTACCGATTTCAACGGAACTTGGGCGAAATTTTTACGGTATTCGATTACGATATTTAAAGGCTAGCCTCGAGGATATCGACACAGTCAAGTGGAAGCTACAGTGCGGTACGCGAAGTGATCCAGTAAGGCGATAGACATTCAAATAATAGTTGAAGTTTGAAGTGAAATAAAGTTAAGTTTAATTATTCAGTGTAGTCAATTATTGGTCAACCCACGGGGAAACACGTAACAATACTTTCGGCTCCAAGAAGCTGTTGTTTTCCTTGAGTTACTTGAGAATTCTAAAAATTGTCGATCCATTGACACCGGTCATACTCGCGCATTTTTGCACTACTTCCTCCTTACTTTTATTTCGGGCGGATATTGCATTCTTAGAGAATTATAAACATTCATAACAACATTTATATTTAATGCTGACAGTTTTGGACACTTACGGTTCCCGAACAACTAGCTTCCATGTTGTATAGCTTTTTATTTAACGCGCTCTCCAAGTAAACTGGAAGACCATGACCTTTAAACTCCTAACAGAAAATGATAAATTTTCTTTCTATGGAAAAAGCCAATTTGGTCCAATTGATGGGTGCAGTGTGTCTGTTGACGATATAATTCAAAAGAATATCTATTCATACCGCCTTCAAAAAAACAATGTTTTTTCAATCCCCTTCAACTAAATACGTTGGAGACTGTCTTGTGATGGACATATTTTCACATTTGTCGTAGTTGATGTGTGTGATTTGTCGTAGTTGAGTTGTTTGCTATGAATGAGATTTTTTAAATATTGCTTTTGAATGAACTATTTTAATTTATTCCTTCATTAAGCATCATAAAGTGTTACGGGTGTTTATAGTTCATATGCAACATATTTCAATAATTTTATCGGAGTTTTCTGATATCCCACCGAATTTAGAATTTTTCAGTGACTTTATTGTAGACTACACTTCTAGTTCAGTTGTTGACGTGGGAATTATGGATCAATTTATTTTTTGTATACATTTGTTGTCATGATATGTTTAAAACATTGATTTATATAAAAACTATCAATTTTGTTCTCTCCTTTTTGCAATTATTTTTATGATTGCACCGAAAACTCAACTCCACCATCTTTATTTATCCATCAATTGAAATGTTGAATTTCTATTGTTAGAGATAAAGAAATATTATATTGAAATCAATTCTTTCCATCTGGTATTTGCTTTCTAATTTTTTTAGTTGAAAGTTGTTTCCCCATGTGAATATAATCAAATGCCTTTATTGATCAGCTTTGTCTACATACTGAAGGGGGAAAGATTTCAGTCTGTTGATATTCAAAAGTGTGAGCTTTTCAGATTATTATTTAGGAATCACACGTTAAAAAGTAAGAACTCGTTAGTCCTTAGCTCACACAAGTTTCATAGGGGTGCGCCCCTACAGATTTTTTTTTAAACTGAGAAAATTATTAGGAGCTTGAAAAGTATTTTTATTTCTAGACTGTGGTATCAAATATAAATTTTTCAAGTTTAGCATTTTTTCATTTTACTTTCCAGTGTACTAATATTATATTTTGAATTCCTTTTTCAATACAGGTGCATGAAAAATAAGAATCGATTAAAAAAATATACACATTTGAAAATATTGACGATTTTTCATAATTGCAATTTTGTATTACTTTGCATGTAAAATGTTTGACAGGCTGACAAACATAAATCAACCTGCCTAATACTTTTTATGGGAGATATAGAAGTTTCTTTAATGCTATATTAATAAAGTTTAGTAGTAAACAACATTGGATGTTTTTGTGATTCTTTATTGAGAACTTTTCATAAAATACATATTGAACATTGAATCAGTAAATACAGATTAAACAGGAAATCTAAAACACTACACAAACTACTCAATTCAATACAAACAAATATAACGACAAGATTTATGAACCAGTAAACGTGAAACATGCTTGATATGAAAAAACACTTCATGAACATAAGTAATGAATAAACACGAACAAGTAATAATTTCGGGATCATAAAAGAAATCATCATTTATTTGGAATGGGCAACATTTCCATTTCTGGCATAAATATGCTCCATCCGTTCTTGAACTCTGACTATGTCTAGATCTGGGCGTTTAGTGTGGGCATACTTGATGTCTAACACAGTTTTATAGGCTTTCAATGCATCATCAAATTTTTGTTCGTGAAACAACTTTTCTGCTTTATTATAATGACGTTCGATGGCCTGAAAATAAATATGATTTTTTTTCAATGCATAAAAACGANGCAAATGCTTTCATGTATATTAAGAAATGGTCTTGATATTTTATCAATTATTATACACCCAAGTCATTTGCTTAGCGAAATTCAGAAAATTGTGGATCTACAAATAAGGAGCACATCAATTGAAGAGTCCAGTGGAAAAACGATGAGGTTCCAAATTTTGTCGGAATTCAGATTTCAGCGGCACCTGTTGGTTAGTGACATGAAGTGTCAACACTTCCCGTTGGAAGTGAGCTGTTGCTCAGGGGAAAAACAATTATGTTCTACTAAAAATTGTGTTTGAAAATACATGGCACAGCTGAAAAAAGATGCACCCCAAGGAAGAATGTTGAAGTTCAACCCCCTTTCTCCAGTTTTCACCATTTCAAGTTCCCTCTCGTTCACTATTTTCTACGATTATGAAAGAGTAAAACACTTTCCTACATGCAGTAAGAACTCTGTCGACTTGAACGTCGTCTTTACTGAGACTTTCGTCCTCACAGTCTGCCGCAGTAGAAGACGAAACGTTTCGTATTTCATGTTCCATTGAACCACAGCTTTACAAGCTCGAATTTTGTTCTACCGTGATGGCTTGTGTTCTTATATTGAATGTCAAGATTTAGTTTTTCTCAGAATATGTTAAACGGGTACCTCATCGTTTTTCCACTGAACCCTTCAATTTTGTGTTCGCTGAATTGAAATACGATTTTAGCAGTTAAAAATTAATTGGTTATACACATGGATGTTATGATAATTTCTGCATTTGAGGAGTCACATCCTAATACAGAAGAGAATGTAACACATTTGATGGAAGAATCAATAGCATCAAAACTTTCACGGCAATAAAATAACCATAAGGTATATTACGGCAATATGAGCGATATTTTTGCTGCTGATTCAATTAATGTTTCTTTTACAAATGGTATATTCAAGTGCATTAGTTATTCCTATTCACAACGGAAACCAATGACCAATTTCCCTCATACTATCTCTTTTGAAACTTATAGAGTGACTCATCAAGAAAAGAATGACATTTTTCTTCACAAAACATAACATATTAAACGGTTTTCCATTTAGCTGAGAATACAAGCAATGGCATCTTTGACTTCTTGGAAGTGTTAATCAAGACTAGTCAGCTGCAGCAGTATTCTGTGACTGTAAAACTATGAATATTTTTCAACATCGTGAATCTATAAAGTATTTATATTACCTCGGTGGTTTCCTTGATATGAGCACTAGTAAGCTCTTTGCGGCAAAGCACACAACGTCGTGGTCTTCTAGTACGTGTTAAAGAAAACACAAAATCACAAGTGGAAGTTTTGCAGGGAATCTTTAGAACTGTTTCCAAATTCGAAGCCAAAGGCCATTTCTCTACGCATGCTGTGCAGGTGCATTTAAAAAAGAAGTCGGTCTTTAGATTTTGCTGCCTATCTCGCAGTTTCATGAATAAGTAGTTCGGGCCATAATTATCATAAATAATATCTCCAGCCTTTATCGGTTTTATTGTTCTCACCAACATTCTCTTTTTATCACTGTACCTGTAACATTCAACAGACATTGCATGATATGTTCAATAGGATCTAATGGGCATTTTTTCACATATTATGATATTAGTTGCATCCAGAATAGAATGGCAAAAATTTCAAATTCGAAAGTATTTACCGTTATCAAGATATGCGATTTTAAATTGAGCATTTGTCGAAAGACAATGTGACGTCACGAGATATGTGCGATTATCGGTACAGCATCTGAATTGTTATAAAACACAGTATTTGTTTGTTTGAAGGTGGTTGACAGTTATCACCTGAAGACGATTGTGGATACTAACAATCGAAACGTTCGTGAATTAACTTGGTTTGGAATCTTTTAATTTGTAATTTTCATTTTTTGTTAATATTTTTGTTTAATTTTCATTTCGTGTTAATATTTCATTTTTTTGATTTTTTGGTTGTTACTTGTATTTTATTTCATTGTAATTTCAGTTTTTTTGCTCAATATAATTGTTATTTTTCTAGCTAACCTTTTTATTTTTTTATTTTTTCACAGATTATTTCAGGGATTTCAAATCAATTTATATCATATTAGACAATGGAAGTCCGAACTAGTGATTAGCATTAAAATGCTACTTCATTCTAGTCCTTTTATATTACAGTTTATAGAACACATTTTCAACACCTGTATCGATTTTAGTGTATTCCCTACCACCTGGAAGCAATCTCACGTTCACCCTCTGTGTAAAGTCAACGATACAAGCAAATATCTGTTTCTAGGTGAAATAATTAGCCAACATTTTTCTGTTTCTTCACTAGTTTTCATTATCGTTTTGTAGGCGAATTATTAGTTAACATTTTTCTATTTTTTTATTGTTTTTTCACTGTCGTTCATTGAACGAAATAAGAATAGGTGATAGCATAAGTGGTTAATGATTAGAATTCATTTGTAATTATTGTTATGAAAACGGCTGAATGGAAGAGCAAGTTCTGATTGTGTTACTCAAATGACAAGATCAGACCCTGAATTCTGCCTTTTGACAAAAATGTAGGATATCATTTAAGAACTGCTTGTTTTTTTTATATCTACTATATGTTGTACTGCATTTTGTCAATAAAAGCAATTATTATTATTATTATTATATCATACTAGACAATGGAAGTCCGAACTAATGAAATGCACAGTTGTTTGAGGTTTGAATGAAGGTGTGTTCAGTTTAATAAAAGTTTCATTAGGGCAGACACAAGTAATTTACCACAAGTGGAGTTATTCATGGTTCATGCAATTAGAAAAAGAGCCGAGTTTTTATAAAATTCAATGATTGAAAGCGTTCTGAGGTCCAATTATTCAAATTCAAATGTTTGAAGCAATGAGAAATGACAGTAAAGCGATATATTTTAGTGTATTGGTATGTTTAAGTGATAAATACAGTTTTTTCCACCCTGTTCATTGAGAGGTACAAATTATTTATTTGTTACTTTGAAATAAATGTCACGTATGCGAGAAAAATAAGTTCATTCTCTTTTCTTCGCATAGCTATTTGTAATTTATTAACAAGTTTGTGAATTTCGAGTTGTGTACTATACACTACTTTTTGGAATTATCCTTGCTCCTTCCAGGATATAGTCAGATGAGTACACACAACCACAAAATAAATATAACATGAGTTTTATCCCAACAACAAACCGTTATTTCAACACATGGACACGTGTTTAGATCACCAAGTGATCATCTTCAAGAGGAAGATCAAACTGGAGAGGAAGTTCAATCTTCCTCTTAAAGATGATCACTTGGTGATCGAAACACCAAATAACGGTTTGGTGTTGGGAAAAAATTCCAGTAAAATTCATTACTACATCAGAGGTTTCAAACAGTGCATCACAAGAACCACAGAATAATTGAACTTTCATACCTCTTATACCGAAACGTCTAAACCTATGGCAATTCCTAGTCGGCTCTGCATTTCGTGTATCTGGTGACGTCACACCCTGTTTTGCCGAATCTACTCTTTAAGGATGTTTTCTGAAGCATTAGATTTACTAATATTTTCCAGATTACGTAGCGAATTCATTTTTGGAATTGCATCAATACTTCACATTTATAGACTGGATGATTAATTGAAAACATCTAAACATTCCTAAGAAGCTCTCATTTATTTATCTGAGACTTTATTTCTCATTTTTAGAAAAAACAAAACCCAAGTTGGTAGGCAGTGGTCGAATAGAACTTGTAATGCTGTAACAGCTGGTTAACGGAAAAACAGATTTAAACAGATTTTTTTAAATGCCAACTATTTCGTTTGCTACTTTGACAGACATCAGTGGAATTTGCGTTGACTACGAGGATGAAGGTTATATCTCGAAGTCTCTCCATTTCCATGCTCACTTTTGATTGTTCCGCACTTAGCTGAGTTGTTCTTATTGATCTACGTTATTGACAGGTATTGGTGAGATGCCGATTGGAGTTGTATTCTAGTCGATTTCTGGCCTTCTTGAGTACTGGATACCATCTTCTGTTGACCTATATACCTTCTTTTTTCTCAAGTTGTTAGAATACTTATTGACCTCCCTTTTAGGTCGAGACTTCAAGATATAATCTTTGTGCTCCCAGTAAATCACATACCACTGATTATGTCTACCTACAAGTTGCATTCAACCACAGTCTACCAGCCTAGATTTTCTTTTCTGTAATTTTATTTTTGTTCAATAATGGGGTACATATATGGGTGACCTCGAAAGTTCTTTAGTATGGGTTATTGAAATGGTGTATTTGTCTTGAGGACATATGTGTTATATCTGGTGTCTCAAAAGTTGGAAACAAAGGAATAAGTTTGAGGAATGCATTTCAGAAAAAAGTTACGATATTGGATTACACTATTGAATAGCCAGAAAAAACTTCATTTTTTTTTTAACTTTTTTCTCAAATGCATTTTTAAAAGTTATTCTGCTGATTCCAAACTTTTGGGGCATCCGGTATATTATTCAAAGAGACATTTTTGTCATTTCGGTAAGTGCTAGATGCTCTCATAATTTTTACACCATTCTATTATTGAATTGTTGAAGTGACTCACCTGATGATACTTGGTTCACACGCATGATTGAAAAATGCAAAAGTAGGAAATAATCCAACTCCAATAGATTCGACTAATTGTTTCTTCTCCCCAGCATGTTTCTGGACAAGGCTGTAATCGGGATATTTCAGTTGAGTTATTTCATGTACGTTACAAGCCATCAGCTGGCAATGTCTGAGAATGAGTCGTCCAATGAAGAGTTCTTCATCATGAAGAACTTTGTCATCTGTTTCAAAAGGAAAAAAGTCCGTTTTTTTTAAGATGCGGAGCAAATATACTGCTACATTAAGATATAACTGCTCGCTAGACTTTTGATTAACATTTCGATACAAGAATAACATATTATCATAATCATCAGAATGATAAACTTCTTTTTTAGTTAAACCTTGGTAATGCAATTCTAAGTCGCTCAACAATTTATCTCTTTGCTCATCAAAAAATTCAAATCCTCTCTGAGTAAGAATTCTTAAAGACATCAGCTTATCGAAGCTGCTGATGAGGGTTGGATAAATTGGGCATTCAATTTTGTGAAAAGATGCGTCCGCTTGTTTCTTGCAGTCACTGCTACAGAAGACAACATTTGTACATGTGGAACAAGGGACGATAAGCTGATCAACATATACAAAACAAACTTGGCAATGAGTCAAACTGCGGCCCTTGTCTAGCAAAGCCACATGGGGATCTTCTTTAACGATAAGAGTCCCCACTGAAATATCTTTTTTAGCTACTGCATGTCTTCCTAAGCGATCGTCAAATTTAATATCAACGAATGGACTGATGGAAGGATACTTTTTGCTTCCCTTAAACTTTTCGATGTCTCGAATAATTCTCGAACTGGATGTTGAAGTTGGAGACACTTGTTTTCTTTTATTTTTATTTTCTTTACAAGATTTAAGAGCTTCCACTTTTTTCTGGAGTTCTTCTTCTGTTAAATTGTTGTTCTCAGTTAATAATTTGAGAGCTTCATCGTAATATATGTCCGCCGCTTCAAAATCTCCACGAGCTTCGTAGCACTTTGCTTTTCTCCATAATATTCTATATTTCAATGAAATTGGATATTTTCCAATTTCCTCAAGATAACTGATATCCTTTAAAACTTTGTCATAACATTCAAGCTCCATGTTGATTGTAGTCCTGTTTCCTATAAGCACACAGAGAACTTGTAAGTCTACGTCTGAAACAAAAATAGATAATTATAAAAATGTGATTTTGTTGATAAAAAAATGCTCTTAGTCTTCCTGTGAAACAATGAGTTTTAAGATGATAAATGAAATAATTATTAAAAATATGAGACAGACCCCTAAAAAAAATCGAAATGAATTGAAAGAGTGTATTTGGGAAATTTTCATTCATTTATTCAGTGACATTGCAAAAACACCATATAAACCAATGAGAACCATTAGAAATTCCTTGAACAAGCCAAAAGACAAAGTGCACCTAGAAAAAAAAGCATATATAACATCGCACGTGAAGATTGCAATTCGTTCAGTTTTTGGATGGTGATTTGTGACACGTGCGGACGGGCGTTGTCGTGGAGCAGGATCGGGCGCCTTCTGCTGACCAGTGCCGGCTGCTGCTGACGCAATTTTCGGTACATTTCATCGATTTACTCACAATAGTACTCTGTTGTGATGGTTTGGCTCGGTTGTAGAAAGTTATAGTGAATCACACCAGCTGCTGATCACCATACAGTAATCATTACCAAATGCCTGGTTCATTTTTCGGGCTGGTGCGGCAGCGCTTTGGTTCAATTTGAATTCCTATTTGCAACAACGTTATCATACATACCTACCTGTCTTTGCTTTATTCACATTTTCTCTAATTTTTTTTGCAGTTAGATAGACGTTTTTCGCAACTGAATTTCATGTTAGTATATGAGCATACTTTTTTTGCCTTACATCCTCACTTTCAATTTTCAAATGTACATTGTACCACTTGGGTTTATTTGATTTTTGTTTATGACATATGAAATTGTTCACACAGAAATTCTGAAAGAATATTAGGAGTATTTATTAAAAAGTAGTTTGTCCAATCTATCCTGTTCATATACATATTCCAGAACAAGGTAATTCAGCTATACCCATTTCACTGATATGTTGGGTTGTTTTACCGCATTCTTAATCTGATTCAATTTATTTTTTGACTTGACTTCGATAAACGGATAGAAGTGGTCAGAAATATCTTTTCTTATTATACGAAATTTCCTGTATTCATTAAAATTGATGCATATATTGTCAATATATATTGTCATATATTGTCTATGAGCTGAGTTTTCCTTGTTGGTTCACATAACAAAGTTTCATAATTATATGAGAGGAGTATATTCTTGGGGCTACATTTTTTAACTTTAGAAAATTTACATTGAAGTCTCCTAGCAAGACAACATTTGATTATTTTTTATTAGGAACTCGAGCAGTTTATCTGAAGAATTTAAAAATATTTCAAAACTTCCTCGGTTCGATCTATAGAGTGTTGATACTATTACAATATTTTCCATAAGTATAACCCGTGAACTCAACATCTACTACAGTAAAGAAATGACTTAGGTTAGGTTAGGTCCAAAGTGAGTGGGTCTACTCGACCCTCCTCCGCAACCTGCAAGGGTTTATTGTAGCTCACACCTGATTCGGTCCTCAGCGGGGCAGGCACAAAGTATTTGCTCTGCTGTTTCATCATTTTCCAAAAGTAGGCGACACACACTGTCTTCCGACAGACTGAGTCCCTGCATATGATGATTCAAATGACAGTGAGCTGTAAGAAGGCCTGTTACACATCGTAGTTCATCCCTACTGTAGTCCAACAACTGTTTGGTATCAAGTTTCGAAGGGTGAATAAACTTCTTGGAGTAAGCCAATCCTGGAAGATTCTACCAGAAGTTCATGAATCTTCTTACCATTCAGGTGTTCAATCTTTGTTTGACAAAAAAGCAATGCCAATGACAGGTTCTGGTCCGATGGAGCTGCTTGCAGCACCCTCCTTTGCAAGGGAGTCAGCAGCCTCATTGCCATCCAGGCCAGTATGGCCAGGAGTCCAGACCAGAGACAATATGTTAAGTCTTCCTATCGAGGAGAGTCGTTTTTGGCAATTTGTTACCAATTTAGACGTTGGTCGGTAGGAGCCAAAAACTTCCAACGCCTCTTGACTGTCCGAGAATATTTTTATTGACTTGTGTATGAGGTTGGATTCTTCCGCTTGATATACAGTTGCATAGGTTCCTAGGCAGGTAACTATATCTGTCCTGGGTCTGCGACTGAAAAGACCTGCACCAGAACGTGTTTTTCATCCATCTGTTAACCAACAACTATCTGCTCTTAATATTTCCTTCTCCCTGAGGATCCAGTCCTCTCTAATCGGGAACAGTACTTCATAAGACAGTTCGTAGGTGACAGTTGGAGGCATAAAGTCAGAGGTCATTTCCAGAATGCTGTGACTTCCAGTGTCAACCAATAGTCTGCACTCCGCATTAAATTTATTGTGCAATTAGCAATGTGCACAAGTTTATATGCAGTCCATCTAGCCTCTCTCTCCAGAAAAATGTAAGAAATTACTTACTTTGATATCTTGAGCAGACAAATTTTCTGAATAATGATAATTTTAATTAGCCTTCGAGATCATAAAAGTGATATCAAACAAGTCACAGACTTGCTGCTTCAACTGCAATTTTATATGATGTCTTGAGGTAATGTATCCAATAGAACAATGCCACTGTAAGAATGGTTAATAAATGTTTGCTTCTTGTGATTCCTATCTGAGGTTGGGTACATTATACTTTACATAAAGCAGTGCTTTATATGTATAGATTCAGGGTGAAGTTAATATTTAATTTTTGGGGAAAGCTGTTCTCCAACTTCCTCTTGAAATAATATTAAATATACTTCTGTTCAACCTTTTTTGAAAAACAAAAACATGTTTTCCTCCCACAGAGGAGCTACTCCATCATGTTTGTATTTATTTGTATTCCTCACACTTGTTGCACTTTACTTTGTTCACAACTTTTTGGAGTGAAGTGGCATAGGATTTATGCCTGCCGCCATTTTGGCCATGAAGAGAACAAGTATACAAATTAAAACACCAACTCGAGTATCAATTTTAACAACGGCGTTACCAAGAGATAAGGTGAGGCAAGACAAATCTTTACAAATTCTGTAAACTTTTTATGGTAATCATGGTGCGTATCCATGACAATTTGAGGAAGTAGCTGATGGAAGGAAATATCTGAAAGTTTTGGAACAGTAATGGAAACAAGTATACCAGAGAAAAATTATTACGGGCAAATTCTATCAAAAACCCATAGAGAACTCACCGGAATCTGAGCAAACATAGAAATACTCATTTGATATAATCTAAGTCGAAAAAAATTGTAGAACAGATTGTGTCACCTTTAGTGATGTGTCAAAAACAGTAAAATGCGACAAGTCCTGGAGTCCTATCGATGATTTCTCTACTAGTAACTGTCTTAGAATTCAAGGCTTCGAAAAAAGTTGAGTGGAGTAACTTTTTCAGAAAAATCAAGATTAGAGTGAAAAAACTCTCAACAAACCATCTTTCAACTGAGCCAATCGTTTACAGTACTGTGGAAATAGGAAAACCAGGCATCTTTAGATGAATTGTTTTGAATGAAGCAGATTTTCACTACAAAGCAAGACATAAAATGCAGAGAAAGATGACGAATGTTCCAGGGAACTCTAGTCTTTCAACGAGCATAGTCTTGAGTTGGTAGTGAACTGCTGAAAGAGACTCACCTCAATAAATTATCTCTGGTCTAGATTCCTGGCCAGACTGACCTGGAAGAAAACAACACTGCTGACTCTTTTAAAAGAAAGGTTTCACCAGACTAGAAACCATTGGCTTGCTTTATACTTTGCCAAACAAAATCTAAATACCTGGATAACATGAAGAGTTTCAGACTTCTGGCAAAATTTACCAGAATTAGTCCATTTCAAGACATGTATACATCCTTCAAAGTATGTTACGAAACAATTGCTAGACTACGTTGTGCGACAATGTGGTATAGCATCAAATTATGTTCCAGTAAACACTGATAATTGAATGAAAGAATTGTTATGGAACAAAAGAATTTGGTATGATATAATCCAGAAAACCAAAATAACATAGTTTATTATTCCATTTGAACAATCTTTGTTGGAAATATACAATTAGTATGTGCAAAAATATCTGGATTGGTACCCAGAACTTATAAATATTAGGTAAAGCGTTAAAGTTATATAGTCAGTGGAATAAATGAAATACAAAATAATGTGATACCTATCTTCCAGAGCCACAGGAACAACTCAACTTTAGACTATCCATCTTTGGTGGTGGTGAACTCGTAGCATCAAGCGGTGAACATCTGAAGAAAATGGTTATGAAGCCATCAGAGGACAACTGGTGGGACAACTAAAATCAATCTCATGGACTCCATGTTAGAGACATACATCTTGTGGTAGGCCAAGAAAATGCGGCGGGAAGATGGAGATGATTCAAGGCATTGGAGAATCCCAATCAAAGACCCAGTGAAAAAAGTTCCATTTAAAATCAATTCCTACGTTCCGAAGAAAAAAATACAAATGAAGGCCTTAAGATGAAGATATTTGGAATTGAAAAACACATATCTCCAATAAGCAGCAGGATAAACACTGCAATAATAGCTACAGAAAACATAAAATTCTCACACATTTTTTAAAATGAATTTCCCACAACGCTAATTGGTGCCTGCGACTTGTCTCTCCAAAGTTCACTGGCTAAAACGAAGCCCCTAAAACCTAGACTAGCATGTCTCTTTTCCGACTTTTCAGACTGGTACAGAAACTAGGAACACTTATCGAGTGCGATTGTAACATTGAACCAATGACGTCATAGTTTTATCAAGAAAACATGTTTAAGAAGTTCGAATCACAACTGATATTCATGAATGAAATGTTAAATACTTCAATGCCAAATATATAAAAGCAACATGTCTAAAAGTATTGACAAAGTGAATAGTTCTTTTTCAATCCTCCTGACATAATGAATAAGAACGGTAGTGTATAGAAGAATTCTAGTGTTGAAGATGAAAGTATCAGGTAGTGACATTTTGGGTCATAAAATAAGGATGACAGTACCCCTAAGGTGATTGAAGGTCAACATTCAATTTTGAGGTCTTTATAAGCTTTTTCACTGTGATTTTGATGTCCAGATGACAGATGTGAACAGTTCACCACCAACAACAAGTAGACGATCTAAGGCCTGAAAAATATAACTACAAAGGTGAAAATATGTATACAAACATATCAGATGCGTAATAATTTAAATGGTTATACTCCACAGCAACAGGTTAGTTAATGTAGTGAAATAGGATACAATTTTTACTGGCAAATACTTATACATCACAATAATGAAGTCATCTTTTACAGGACTCTCTGCCTTTTAATCCAATCTGTACCAGGTGATATCCATGAAAGTTTTGTGTACTCTTCATATGAATCTGAATAGTATTATTTGAAAGGAAACCAGTAATAATCATTACAAATCTTTCACAACAGAAATTAATCTATTTTTCACTTTTTAGGATTTTACGAAACATAACTGTAAGCTAGTGGTAAATATATTTATTTTGTGAATTTATGAGCATAATTTTCTTAACTATATTAGGNTGTGATGCAAAACTTATTAGAAGGTAACATGAATAAAGCGAAACATGAGTTCGTAGTATTTTGAGGAGTCATTGAAAATGGAACCTGATTTGAACCAAATGATAGTGAACCAAGAAATAGTCATTGAAGATATACAAAAACAGGTAAAAACATTGATGGACGCAAAAATACAGGTGATTACAGAAAAAGTAACTAAATTTAAAATACTCATGACAACTCTGAACATACAGTTGATATAAAAATAGCGAGTTTACCAGGTGGGTCAAAAAGGGAATGCCGAAGGCATAATGAATGGCTAAAAAATGAAACCTGTTCAAATAATCAGCCGGAAATTGCAAAGAAACGAAGTAAGAAATCCAAAAACTACAGAAGAGAAGCTGACCAGCTCTACAGAAAAAGATTTGAATCATCTAGTTATCTCTGAGAAAAATTTGAGGTATGAAATAGGTTATTGGTTAGACAAGGGTTGAAAATGAAATTAAAGAATTGTAGTTAGGCATTTTTTTCATTTCTAATTTTGAAAAAAAAATGGTTGGCTTTTCCTCTGAAAATGAAAAGCTTCAATAAACATCGAGTCTCTACAACAACAGCTTAACCAATATCAATCGGTTCAAAATGTTTCATTGTTGCAGAGTGAAAATAGTGTTAACAAAATACTCATAATTGCTGGAAATATTGAGAAGAAGTTGAGTGAAATTATTAAGAGGAAACATAACAAATATACAGTACTCTCCTTGATAAAATCCAATGCCGAAAATCAAGAATTAGTAAATACTGCGCTGAAGTATTCTACCTCTTTCGCAAAGAGCGATGCTATGATTCCTATTACCAAATCAGAAAAAAAATTATAACTGTTCAGTTATTGAGAACTTCATGCTATCTTTGAAGCGTACAAATCCAATCATTTCGACCCAATCCCGTATAAGAGATAAAAAATACTTATACTGGATTATATAAAAAAATAGAGTTGTGTAAGTCAGTGCGGGTATAATTGTTGATTGTAAAAATATTGTTTCAAGTAGAAATTTTCTATATAGGTTCAACAATGAGGTATCTAATGGAGAGAAGTGGTTAATTTCTGACTTTATGTTGAAATATGAAATAAATTGTACTTCATCCATCAATAAGGCAGGAAGGTGTTGAATAATGGACATTCCTCAAGTAATGAAGGCTCTTATATAATCACACAAAACTATTGTTTATTTCCTTCTCACACTCTACTGATTACAACCTAGGTAACAATCATAACGATTTTGCAACAATTACAAATGAAACTCGACAAACACTCCAAATAATCACTAAACACAATTTTTGTGATTTCAAGTTTCTAGATAACTACAAGATTGTTAGTCATTTAGTTGAAGTTAAGGAATTTAGGTTAAAGTGGCCTTCTATTGAAAAGGATTTTGATTACTGTCTAGAGTCACTAAACATCAACAAGAAAAAAATCAAAGACTGTATGGAAGTTGATAATAAATGAGGTTGGCCCAATTATTTCATCCATACCTCTCCAAATGTATGATAGTCATAAAAAATAGTGAGTCACTGAAAAATAAAGATTAAAGATGATCTTTCAGAACGACCAGCAAGATTTATTCATATGAACTGAAATCATGCGCCATTGACAGCCTTACTGTAACTGATATAAGATGTTGAAAAGGTAAAAAAATATTTAGAATAACAGTAAAAAATCAAATAAATGTGGATATTTTCAATGATAACATAAGCTCTACTTCGAATGAAATAGCATTTTATAAGTGTGGAATGGTTAGTGAAAAAAAAAGAAAACGCTATACTTCTTATGTAGAGAGTTGGATTGGCGGGAGACAGTGCACACATCTCTGTTTGGAAAATTATGAAACGGCAGAGCATATACTTAGAGTCTGTCCCACTATGGTCTGAATCAGGTTTTCAGAGTTTGGCAGTGTTTCACTCTTGCAATCGGGCTTGGAAAATCACTCATCAAATAAGCTAATCCGTTTCATTGAGAAGCTGAAGTTATTTAGCCGAGTTTGAATAGGTGTGAGTCATAATAAACCCTCTGAGAGGAACATAACCTATTTTAGGGAAGTCCAGAAAAAGTGAGATGGGTTCAACTACCACTGGACATCTGCTAATTGGAATTTTGGATGAATGTAACCTCGGTGGAGACATGGAACAAAACAACTCAGGGATGTACCCTCAGTGGTGACATTATGGAACAAAACAACTCAGTTTTGAGAATCATTGAGGACAATGAAGACATTTTTCTGAGTTCATTTGATGTCAACAATGGTTCGAATGGCACAACTTGAGATTCTGAGTGCTGGAACTGAAAAAGACTGACGAGATGAAATGACAATAGCGCAAATCTTTTAGTATATGGTAAGTATTTTTGAAATGTATTGCCTTTTAGCACTAGTTGAAATAAAAGATTTTCAACTATTTTAGCAATATTGTTAATGTCTATATGGGTTCTTCATGAAAATAAGTGGTACAATCCAAATTAATTTCATTCAATTACTCAAAATACAAAACATTTCTTACTACTTCCATTGTTACTATGGCTTTCAATCTCGTTGTTTGTATTGCTCTTGGAACCAGTTTGCATACTGATCGAATATGCAATTCAATGAGCTCATCATATGTATAGATAAGATGACTCTTTCAGTATATATTTTTTTATTTAAACGATCACTACTAGCATCTTGGTAATTTGCCTGCTTGATTCTGATATATTTATCTGAGAGAATTGTAGGGAACTCGACTTTTCAAGTGGTAGGTAGGGTAGATAGGTCCAAAGTGGGTGGGTCTGGTTGCTCTGAAAATTTTCTAATTCTTGATCCCACAAATGTAATCCCATTGGTTTTTACTTTGTGATCAAGAAAATAGATGAGTTTGTCTACCATATAGAACTAACTCCAACGGTACAAGCCACTAGTCAATTATGTTGAAAGACTATATAATTGTAACGGTTCCCCACATTGGAACATCAGAATCAAACAGATGAGTTTTCAGGGATAGATTAAGTTGGTGAGAGGGACATAAAAAATATAAATAACTTATTCAAATGCTGTTAAAATGAATCTTATCGTGGATATTATATTTATGAAAAGTGCATCAGTGCATTTCACAGTAGCTGCTAACACCAAATTAAAAACAAAAAATTCAAAAAAGGACATACAATCATCTGTAGTGACTGTGAACTGACTTTTCCAAACATATTGGAAAATGAAGAAAAAACATTTATAATAAAGAAGTAATTAAACAATTGAAATGTGATGCAAAACTTATTAGAAGGTAACATGAATAAAGCGAAACATGAGTTCGTAGTATTTTGAGGAGTCATTGAAAATGGAACCTGATTTGAACCAAATGATAGTGAACCAAGAAATAGTCATTGAAGATATACAAAAACAGGTAAAAACATTGATGGACGCAAAAATACACACTGCAATAATANACAAGAAAAAAATCAAAGACTGTATGGAAGTTGATAATAAATGAGGTTGGCCCAATTATTTCATCCATACCTCTCCAAATGTATGATAGTCATAAAAAATAGTGAGTCACTGAAAAATAAAGATTAAAGATGATCTTTCAGAACGACCAGCAAGATTTATTCATATGAACTGAAATCATGCGCCATTGACAGCCTTACTGTAACTGATATAAGATGTTGAAAAGGTAAAAAAATATTTAGAATAACAGTAAAAAATCAAATAAATGTGGATATTTTCAATGATAAATAAAATAACTGTCAATATTGCTTGATTTTCGGCCAAAACCAATATTTCATTTTTTTTGACTATATTCACTTTTAAATACTGTTATAAATATTTGAAACCATAGATTATTTGAATTGCAAAGTGTTACTTTATAAGCAGTTTTAGACTTACAAAATTGCATAAATGGCAAATAAGAAATTTAGGAGCAGGTAACTTGTGTACTTTGAAATTATCAGAATGATTTGAAAGTTCGATGTAAAAGGCATTTTGTGCTATAAAAAAATTCAAAAACTGTTTTGAGTAAATTTGTTTGTATTCAATTAATTTGTAGTTTGCCTCTTCCTAACTTACATTGATGAAAACTTTAGAAAAATGATAACACAAGTGAAATGTAGATCCAAATTGAATGCTTCTTTTGGTGTCCTTACATAAGTTTCATCAAATTTTGAAACATTCACAAAATTGGCAGAGAACTTGAAGTTTGCCAAAAATTATTAAGTATTAAAAAATACTGATGGATGATGGGGAGCTAATCATTAATTAACTCTGTATGGCTGATTTAATTTTCTTCATTTTCTGACACCATTGAGTTCTTTCCACGATAAGAGGATGAAAATGAAACAAAAACATTAATTCATATAACAATTGCTAAGTAGGTATTCAACAATTTTTATTTTTCAATATGCTGTTCAAATATATTGGATTGGTTAAAACAATTACCAAGTTTTAATTGCTTCAAAATATTTTCTACGCCAAATATACCAATACCAAAAATATATTCACAAAGGCAACATTACAATCCTCATGAATATCTAGAGAACTATGGTGATATGATGTATAATGTATAAATGAATAGAGCTCATATTAGAATTTGCTTTTCTTAATAGATTAGAGAACTTCTTAAACAAACTTACAATTGTAAGCAANATAATAGTTGAATTGCAAAAATTATACAACTCACATTTTTTACCAATTATTTCATAAGCAGTCTGAAACTTACACAAACAAGTAACTTGTTCCCTTCGGAATTATTACAATGCTATAAAAGTTTGATGTGAATGGCAATTTGTGCTAGATACATTGAAAAATTATTCTTGATATCGAAATACTGGAAAAGAAACCTGAAATGGTATGTATAAAAGTGGTTAGAATTTTTTTCAATCAAATTTGTTTGACTGTTTCCGTCATATGTTTGCACAAGTGCAATGAAGGATTCCAAACTGAATGCTTCTTTCAGTCATCTCACACAAATTTTCAAAC